CAAGTCAGGATGCACTTAAGGTAAGTCTTTTGATGCCCAAAGCCGCGATCTCTCTCTCATAATTATGGAAGGTGAATATCGAGTTTATTTACATAGCTCTGCCATAATAAACACGTATTATTATTAATCAACTCTAATTAAAAATACTTCTAAGTAATTTAAATCAAACTTTCCTTAAATATTCTTGCGATTGTCTGAATCCTGGGAACTCAAGAAGGTTCGTCGATTTACTACCAATCTTCAAAACTTACAGTATGTTTTGGGTCAATTGTGGTGGGATGATGCGGGACGGTTTCTGCATATGTAGGTGAATTAAGGTGAATTAGGATTAGGTTAGGGGTGATTTAGTGGATATTGGGTAATTATTAGGGACAAATATGTAATTTTGAAAACTTTATTTATATTGTAATTTAATTAGTGGTTAAATATTCATTTTATTAAAAAAAACTAATAGATGTAGTATAATGTTAAAAAGTTATATAATATGTGTATGGATATTCATATTAAATTTCTAGAAATTTTAGTATAGTTCATTTTATTTGATGGATTAAATATGTAATTTATTAAAAAATTAATAATGGTACGATAAATAATTTGCACAATATCGTGTGTATATATGCACATAAAAATTAAAAAATATATCAAGATGTCAACGCACTACATAATGCACATTATTGTTAACATAAATAATCAAATAACCGACATAAATTATATTAATTATTATAGAAAACACGATTAGTATTAAATGTTTGTTATTTGATATTTTATATTAGTTTATTTATTAAAAAAATTATATATGTAAACGAAATATATTGTGCAATATAACAGTTACTAAGGTGCAATTCGGACATCAATATGGTGCATGGTGTCAGCCTGTATAGTATTGAACCAACTAAACCTTTATCTCAAATCAAATTGAAAATGATCGTAATTAACTGGTTATTTGGTTGAGTTAACTGAATTTTCATAAATACTCATAATAATTTGTTATTTATAAGATAATTATTTTTGAAATGTTAACAATTTTATTATTATTTTTATATTTTTTTTTTTTTGTTGAAAATTTTTGACCGATATATTTCCATATTTATTGTGCAATACGGTAGTCTTGATAAAGTGCAGTGCGTTGTATTCTAAAGTGCAACGTATTGTTTTATAAAGTGCATCATGTTGATGTATAAAGTGAACTACTATAATTTTGATACGTTAGATTGCTTGTGTTTCGTGTGGATAAATGATGTGATTGATGTTAAAATATTATGTATATCCATCTTTTATATTTATATATGTTGTGTGGTATTTTTGGCGAGAAGCTGTTTGGTGTAAGTATGGAGTGTAGTGATAAGGCGCGACATGTTGTTTTATAAAGTGCAACATGTTATTATATAAAGTGCAATGTGTTGTTTTATAAAGTGCATCGAGTTGATATATGAAGTGCACTACTTTATATGATCACGTATAACTTATTTGATTTTGAAAACTATATTTAGTAGATATAATTGCAAATGGAATTAACCTAATATAACTATTGTGTGTTTCATGTATCACTACCGTGAGATTTTTTTATGAGCAGTTTATATATATATTTGGCAACTCCAAATCAAAATCGAACGAGATGATCGGGTAATTCGAATTCAAAATAATTAGTAGTAATATTACAAAAATATATATTATTTTAACATTCTTACTTAATATTTTATGTAATTTTTAATTGAAAATTAATATATATATATATATATATATGTGTGTGTGTGTGTGTGTGTACAAACAAATATAATTTAAAATTATATCTTTTATAGCTTTTTATAAATCACCAATTTGACCCAATGAACTAAATTGTAATATCATCAAAATTAGTGAATTTGCAAAAGTGGCCCTAAACACCATCGAAAATCGTCTTCGACAGTGCCTCTGTAAAATCGTCTTCTCGCCGGAGCCTCTGTAAAATCGTCTTCTCGCCGGAGCCTTGTTGCCAAACCCGCGTCAACTGCACGTTTAGGGGATCAAAAATCACATTCGAATCGTTAGTTTTAATTAGGTCACAATAAACCGAGCAAATCAGCCAATTTAACCTCGACCAGGGTAGATTTCGTC